AAAAAAAACGAAAAAAAATCCAGAAATATATTCGCAACCGTTCGGAATTGTAGGAAGCTAGGAAGCTGGTTAGCGCCGACGACCTGATTCACTGACAGCTGCTGCTGGTTATGGAAAAAAATAGGGCCTAGAGCAGGGAGTGTCCCCATGGTGTAGGACGCCCGATCGGTCAAGATCAAGAAGAACGGAACCCAGACCAAGTTCAAGATCAGGCCAGAATTGTACCAGGCTTTGTTGCTTTCCACTCGACCGTTTGACAATCCAGGTGCAGCAGGTACCTTTACACTCTGATTATGCCGGACAAGGGCAAAGCTGAGAAGCTGAAACAATCTTTGCCTCCATCCTTGCAGAAGAAGGAGATCTGAGATCCAAGAGACATCGGACAGCTGATCGACTGCTGAAAAAAGGTCGCGTTGGAATCCATGCTGCCACGCCGAAGCTTTTCCCACTGGGTTCGATATCCACTGGGTCTGATTTCGCTGCAACGGGTCCGTGCATGTTTCTCCGCACGACGATGAAGCCCGAAAAAAGGATTAGAGGACAAAGGCTTCAGGTGGAGGATCAAGGGCAAGCTAGGCAATCCAACATCATCCAGTCCTGTGTGAAAGGACGGAGCCAAGCCGCCTTCAAAGGAGTATGTGGTCAAACGAACGAACCCGTTGGCCTGTGACCTATAGGCCCTATAGGCCCCAGGGTTGGATAGTGCTCATCGCCAAAGCCCCACTGATGCAGCACAAGGCAAGCCTGGCATCCTGGCATCAGGATGTGTTCCATCTCCGCATGGCATGTGCGTTGGCCGATGCTGGACATGGTCCGCCCACAGTGGAGGCCAAGCAGATTCTGTTGGACGTATTTTCTGACATTTTCAGACTCTTTTGCCTTTTTTTGCTCACTTTCTGGTGAAGATTCTTCGCAGGATGCTCCACAAGCAGCCCGCTTTCACGGCGCCGCTTTCACGGCCTTCTTCAGCTCCATTGGCCAAGCCGCCCGGGTGGCGCCCGGAGGAACCGCGCGTCGACCCGGCGCTGCCTGGGTGGCGCCCGCAACCGCGGCCGCAGTCTGCGCCGCTGCGGCGCAGCGCCTCGCAGCCCGGTCCCTGCACTCCGGTCTTAGCTGCTTTGCCCCAGAAGGAGAAGCCGAAGATCACCAGACCAGCAAGTGCGGGTGTTGGTGTTCGCCAGAAGGCTTCGAACCGAGCAGCCCCTTCGCCTGAACACATGGCTATCACATATATAAGTAAGATTCATCAATCACGATCTATGATCTAGAAGGCCTTTACTTGATCGAACAGGCTGATCATCCGGCAATCTATATTGCTCGTTTTCTATTGCAAGAACGAACTTTCATCAGGCCTTTGGCAGCTTGGACTGAGGCGCTGAAGCGCCCAAGCTCCCGAGAGAAGCCAGATGAAAAGCATCGGGCCAGTGTTGCAGCTAGTGACCAGAAGTGCAAATCAGCTTCAGCCTTCACAATGAGTGGACTTTGGCTAAACTGCAAATCACGGCCTTTTCAGGAGTCAAAAGGTAAAGGGAGTCCTTTGTACACACCATTGGGCATCATTGGGCAATGTTCTGCATGTGGCCCAATCGGTTCATAAAGATGGTCAGTCCCATATTGCCTATTTCTGCACCCCACCCAAGCGAAGAGTGACTTCATGCGATCTGAGGCGAGCTTGGTGGTGTTGATATCACCTCGGCAGTGGCCGACGTGCAGGCGCTGTGTGAGAAGTGCCGCAAGCTCGCGACGGTGGCAGACTCCCAGCCGGCTGGCCGCACACGTTTTCAAAATTTTTCAAACATACGCAGCTGGGTGTGAGTGCTTTGCGCAACGTTTTTGACGTACTGTGACCCTGGCCATTCTTGAGCCATCCAGGTGTGGGAAAAAATCGGTCACAGCCGACTCTGGCCACCACAAGGAGAGAAGATTTGTTTGGACCATCTTAGTTGGGGCTTCAAGTTTATGCAATTTTTGACAAATGCACTATGCGGCTGTAGAAGTCACGGCTTCCTACTTCTTGTCAGCCACGAGAAGTCTGCTAGTCAGTTTTCAAGGAGCGCAGAAGGAGAACGCGACAAGGAGCAGGAACAAAAGCTGCTTGGACCTCGAATTCGCAGTGAGACGGCGAGGCGGTGTTGTATTCTTAGAATTCTTTCGTTGTGCGCCTGGAGCACTAAGGACCGCAAGGCACTCAAGCGACTTGGATGAGATCGAAGATTGACCTACTCCACTCAACATCTCACCAAAGCTAGCACAGGCAACTTACAAGGCTGCCAGTGGACTGCCCTGGCTTTCCTGTATGCGGGTGTTTAGACCTGCAATTTCAGAGCTTTTGGTTTGACCGTTGGTCGTGATGACATCGGTGCACGCAAGCTGCCTAATTTGAGAGCTGGTCTTACACTTTCAGCGTGCCAATGCTGAGGAAGCAACCTGAAGCTCCCAGCATTTTCAAGTGCGAAGAGTCAAACTCACCGATGCTCAGAGCCAATTAGGGCAGCAATCAGACTGAAAGAATCCCAGGAGAGAGAAAGGTCCTTCTCCGACGATCCGACGTGGAAACCACGATCACAAATGCAACGACTGTCCGACTGTCCTGATCAGTGCTTCACCCACTTTTGTGCCTCGTTCGCTTTCGGACCCGTTCAGCTCCACCCTCGGCGCCGCTCGCCAAGGCGGTGGAGCTTCACGGTGATGAACGCTCTGCGGAACGGCAGCGGCGGTCGAAGTGAGATGGAACGCTTCCACTGCAGGGTCAAGGCACGTGCCATGACTTCTGGTGATTGCAGGGTCAAAGTGGCCAGTTGTGTCACTGGCCAGCTGGTTCACAAACGATTTGAAGCTGTCAAGCCAAGCTGAAAAACATTGCAATTGGCTGAAGACATTACTCAAGTTTCAAGGCTACTTCCGTCGGTCTTCGTTTGCTCTCATTCATGTCAAGCCTCAGCTCAAGGAAGTGGACCAGCAGATCAAGGTGTTGGAAGAGACTCGGCACCGACTATGGCAATGTGAGTTGTCAACAAATGGTGGAAAAGGTCGCAACATCGAAGCAGAGGAAGCGTCCAGACTCCTTGGTCCAGCGGCAGTCAGAGTGTGTGTATGGGTGTATATGTATATATATATATATATGTGTGTGTGTGTGTGTAACCCTTCAAGTCGCAGGGATTCCTTTGAATTGGTAATGTTTTGCTTTCTTCAGCACAGAAAATGCCTGACTCTTAACAGCGGCAGTCCAACGAAGAGGCTGTTTTGAGTCACTGATATGGATTCTGGACGCAGAATCCACGTATCTGCTGAAGTGTGATGTTCACAAGCTGTCACTCTCATCTTCCACAAAGGGCTAGTGCACTCTGCAGACAAGAGCGCTCGTCGTCACTTCGACCTGGTCGTCGTTTCGCTACGTTGTGGACTTGGCCTTTTAACTAAAGGTGTTCAGGCCCCTTACATGATTTCTCACGAATATGGGTGCTAGGTGGGCGTGTGGCAACCGCAATCAAGTCCGTACGCATTTCTATAAGTGTTGGTGAGGGCCGCTAAGGCCAAAGAAAGGCCACCTCGGCGGCCCCTATCGGTCGATTCGGATCGATTCGCTTGACTGAGCACTGAGGACTCAGGGATTGATTTGGAGCCTGATTTGGATGATCTGCAAGAGTTGCAGCCGACCGTCGTCCGACGGAAGGCCGGCGGCGAACCGGTGGGGAAGAGGGCGATGATGAGTTGACCAAGTCGTTGAAGGCTTTCGTAAAGCGGAAGGGCCAGGAGAAAGAAACACAGAAAAAGGGTAGCTGGTCGTGGTCTTAATCAGGGTGGGGGGGGCCTCAAACAAGGCATTGACGTCGACCACATTGCCCGAACGAATGCTGGTCTGATTTGAAGACACCAAGTGACAAAATCAGACCCACAACCTGTGACTCAATACCCACGGCTCGCCAGGAGAGCATTAGCATGATGCGCCGCTGGAGCCGCTCCGTCACCCCGGACGACCGGGAGATGGAGCTGATGCCGCGACAAGGACCCAAGACAGGTCGACCGATGCGCATCCCAGAGATTTGTTGGAGCTGTAAGATGATGGCCACACAGGGCTTGGGAGGGCTTGGGTACAGTACATCCTGAAGATTTACATGAAATTGGAAGAGAGTTCTAGAAGATGTTTTGCGTCTGCCACGGTGTGAATGTATAAGAGTGGACTTCACAAGGTCTGGGGGGAGGATGTTGACCAGAAATCCTTCCGGAGGAAGACAGGCCTGAAGGATGTTGACAGGCCTGAAAACGTAGCAGGGCAAATGCCCTCATCCGTGGTTAGACATGAGAACAGTTCATTGAGTTCATTGCCAAAGATGGTGAGCTGGCTGGGCGATGTTGGCTTCTATGGATTCTATTGGATTGCATGTGTTACATGCGTTTGTAACAGCCGAAGGCTGACGAGAGATGCCACTGCAGTCGAACCAACGCGGTGTTGCATTTTCCCCTCCGCTGCCCTTCGGAGTGGTGTCGTCAAGGTGTGTGAGGTGTGTCGAGGTTTCGGAGGTGCCTCACTGGAGTGCTTCCAAGCCAAACTTCCTTTTTCATATCTTCACAATTTTCCCTCAATTTTCGTGCTGTTACGCTCTTCGTGCGGTTGAGCACTTGAACGAGGAAGCCGTCGCACAGCCTTTCCAATGGATGCCCGGGATTTGTCAAGACAAGGACTGATGTAGAATATTGTAAGCATTGTCAAGCCCCTTTTGCCATGAAGAAGAAAAAAAGTAAGAACTCTTCTTGTTACTAGTAGCGATGGCCTCCACCTAGAAGCTTCTTTTGCCCATGCTGCAATGCTGCACAATCAAGATTGGTTCGTGAAAAGAAGACAACTACCATTTTGTTGCCGTGTCGTGTCAGGAAGCCGCCGTACTGCGATGCCAGCAAATTTCGAGCTTGGTCGCAGTGCTTTGGAGTGGATTTTTTTTTTACATGTACAAAAATGACAATATAGTTACTTGTAGTTCAATGTTTTGCATTATGCAGTTTCATGGATGAATCACCTCCCCTGAATGGCAATCATGATTCTGTGGATTGGGCGTTCCCAGCCTTTCCGGGCAGAGCGGAGCGGAGCAGTGCGCTCCGCAGAGCTCAGGTGACTCGAAAGTGTCTATTCTCTCCTCGGAAGTCCGTTCGACACGGAACGCCGTGATGGAAGAGCTTGATGGACTGCTCGATCACTTGAACAAAGATCCTATTGAAGACGCCTGACTGAAGATGTGGATCACCCGGACTGAGAATGGTCACCTTTCTATCCACGAGACCATGGATGCTTAAGGAGATTGGTAGGTGTTCTTTGTGTGACGAAACGTGTCCCCAACATAGTTTGACACAAGACGGGCGAACTGGCGTGTCTTGCTTTCACAGAAGCACATGTGCTTTCAGAACAGCTAAGGAAGGGTTCTCTCAAGCGGAGGTGTCTCGCCTCAAGTGCGGATTCAGGCGATTTATGATACCGGGAACCATCGATGTGCACAAAGAGGATGCCTGGCTCGAGATCAGCGCTTTCGGGGTCAGGGTTGATGAGGAACCTGAGGAACCGTTGCCTGGCCGAGACGAAGGTTCGTTACCACAATTCAACAGTGCGTGAAGTACAGTAACTCTTAGTCGTCTATCACACGCGCAAGCTGGCCTTCCAAGGATATTTTTGAACTGCTGACATTCCTGGGCTGCGTCTTCTTGGACCCAGTCGAAGTTCGCTCACTGATTGAAGCTTGCCGGGAAACACCTGGGTGATAACATACAGCACAACAAGATGCAAACCATCGAGGACTCAGCGACACGGTATGACCATATTGGCTTCGAAGACTTTGAGGACTTCATGGCGTCTTGGTGAAGATAAGTTGTCGGCAGCAGCAGGTGATGGGGTTGAAGCAGCTTCAGAACTTCAGAATCGAAAGAGATCAAAGCTTTAAAGCACTTGGTATATATATATATATATTTCTGTAGCAGCACTCATGGCAGCCAAAAGACTGGTTATCTAGTTGTGGAATAAGGTGGAAGCTTTGCAAAAAGCACAGAAACAGGAATGTCAGCGTCAGCTCAGGGCAAATACACCAAATATTGTCAGCGTCAGTCGCTTGGATCGAACGTCTCCGATGTCCGGAGATGCGACACCTGGCCACCGGGGTGTCTCTGACGATGCATTTCGGTGTCACTGTGGATCTTGAGCTCTCATCGATGGAGTCAACATGTGGTCTCGATGTAGTAGCATGCAGCCTTCCCGTGCCATGAAAAAAGTCCCTTCGGGGCACTTCAGAATAGAACTTGATTTATGTTCTCTCTATTTTTTGGTTGTGTGTGTGGATGTGCCCCTCAGGTACCGAGCGCCTTGGTTTGCATTTGGCACACTCTGTCAGCCGGTGATTTGAGGTTGCTGCAGCTGATGGACGATGTAGACATTTTACACAGATCTATATAAATACATAAATATGGTTAAATATACATAAATAACAAATATTACACAATAATTAGATATAGTATAATGCGTGTGAGCATTGTCGTGCAGGTGATTTTTGATCAATTTGATGAAGACGAGTCAGGGAGCATCTCTATGGAGGCCTGCCCAAAACTGCCCAAACTGAATACACCAGGGACTGCCCAGGCTCAGTGTCGGACAGGAGCTGCGGCAAATGACCCACTATCTTGGCTTCATGCCAACTCGATTGATGGTGGAGGACTGGAATCGTTAGGTAGGTTGGAAATGGCGGAGGGCCTCAAGCACTTTACCTGAGGACAACCCCCTCACGTTTATGCACTTTTGTTCTTGGCTGACCATTTGGGATGCCGCAGCTGTGTTTCCCAAATCTCAGGTTATTCTCAGGTCACAGCTAATCCTACCATCCATCACTTGCCGGCGTTTTGTGAGCCAAGATGAAGGTAATGAAGGTGCACGCATTTTTGCTTTACATTTGTTGTGCTTTGGGTTGCCGCCCCAGAGAGAGTGGCTAAGCCAAGCCGCGAGGAAGCCACTCAAGTGGTGTCTCCATCTAGGAGAGCTTTAGCATCTTGGATTGAATGGAAGAAAGCTGTGTCGCTGGCTCACCACCATATTTCTTTTTTGAGTTTGGGGTGGGCCACACGTGCCGTGCCAAGTCGTTTGACGAGCTGGTCCAGTTCTTGATGATCTATCGACGGCGTGAAGGCTTTTGCAGACAAGAGGTGCAGGGGCGTACTTCTGAAAAGAGACAAGATGACTAGGTGTTTAGTATTTATCTCCGTCCTCACATGTCCGCTTGAAGACTGCACGAACTCTGCAAATTGATCTGTACATGCTGTCTCGCCACATCCCACCCTCTACAACACTTTTCCCAGATGCAGTGGAACCAATGGCGGAGTCTTTGTTTACCACCTCCCTTCTACATATTCCCTCATGAGGCCGCCATCGGCCGCCTGGGCTTCCTGCAGGTGGAAAAACTGCGCGAGGTCCACAAGGAGCACAGTGACGGTGACCCACTGGTAATGCCGGCCTCCAGACTCAGCACCTTGGTGGACAAGTGTAACTTGTGTAGACATGCAGCACATGACACGTGCATAGTATATGCAGCGTAGATAGCGTAGATATGTCACGCATGTCATGTCGTATCATGTCATGCTTTCACGTCACGTCACGTCACCGCTATGTTATGTTTTGTTATGTTCTGTGCGTACGTCACATAAGTATACTTTAACACTTTAACATATTTATCTGAACGTTATATTTTCTATATGCGCAGTACACATGCGGTAGTCGGTGTCAGGGAAGCAGATGGGAGCTGAGAACAAGTAGCTAAGTAGAGGAACATGAGAAAAGTTCCTGTCACACGAGATGCTGGGCATTTTAAATTGATAGAAGTTTAGCCTCGAATTTGAGGCCTCTCTGAGAGCACTCCGAACCTGTCGGTCGCCGAGGTGCTGGGTTGATCCAAGCATTTGGTCGGCAGGCAGGGCAGACATGTGGCAGACACGTGGCACTGGGCAGGTGCAGCGCCGTTGATCGATTCGATTATCAGGTCCAGCAGATCTCGCAAGAGTTGCAGGAACAGCTTGTCTCAGGCCAGGGGCAAGCAAGTGTCTAAAGGCGCCATAAGGACCAAAAGCAGATGCAGCATTCCATCATATTGCATATCGGAATTGACATGAGTCATGAGCGTTGTAATTGGATCCCTGTGTGAAGTACGAGGGCACCTTTTGTGCATTTTGCTGATTCGGTCGAGTTGCAATTTTGGTGGCTCATATGCCTGAGACAAAATGTTTCGATTGTGGATTGTGTGTGTGGATGGCTTTGCCTTTGCTTCGAACATGTATTCTTTTTGGGCCACTCCGAGGCAAATTCCTACGATCCTCCCAAGTTTCTCCTATCCCAGATCCAGTGCCTGGCCGAACAAGAGAAATCATTGAAAGCGGCTTCGAACGTGTTCCGTGTTCCAGTTCGTTGCGGGGCCTCACTTTGTCAGGACTTTGAACCAGAGAGGCTGTCTTTCGCGGAGTTCTTGATTATGTGTCGGCCTTCTAGATGCAATTGGTTGGCCCAAAAGCCTACACAAATTTGGATGCCAATGCCTTGGCAGAAGAAGTCTTGAGAATTGAGTTTCTCTCTCTATTTCTCTCCAACCTCGGCCATTGCTATTAGGTTGGAGGCCATCGCTATTACTTAGGAATTGCCGAGAAGCGCTGCACCGGAAGCTTGATTCTTTGTGGCCACCCAGCATTGCCAACAAGAAGTCCGGTATGAACGAACGCGATGTCCCAGGGCTAGCGATCAAATGCAACCCACATGGTCAAGGCCTGGAAAACAGCGTACAGATGCGTACAGGGTGCTGGCTCAGCAAGTTGTAGCAACGAGCCTCTTTGGATTTTACAACTCTTGTGTGCAGAGATGTCTGTTCCTTTGAGCATGCCGAACCATGAGAGAACGAAAAGGAAAGACGTCCAACCACTAGCTGCCCCACCCAACGTCCTCAGGCACGATCACTGACCAGCAGATCAGAACTGTGCTGAGAGGCGTGCCTGACGTCACAAGTTGTTCAATCAGTGGAGAGAGGTGCGGGTGTGGACATGTTGTGAAAGGAGCTGCTTCAGGTCCTAGACCATACTAGCAAGATGTGTCAAAACCCTCCCAGAATCTGCCAGAATCAATGTTGCCATTCCCATCAAGCTGGATTTGAGATCCCCAAGCTTGCAGGACTGGGCTACATGCCTTTGACCAAAGCCATGCTGGATATCTACGTCGACGTCATTGGAAGTCCCATCCCCAGTGCCGCTGGGCCGCAGAGTGCAGAGCACCCTCGGAGCCCTCCTGCAGCGGTGCGCTCGTCGTGCGGTGTGCTCGTCGTGCGGTGGCTCGTCGTGCGGTGTGCTCCTGCGGTGCTCGTCGTGGCGCTCAGGATTTGGATTATGACGCAACTTGGACTTCAACTCATTTCACCATGGAGAGGTTTCGTCCCATGAGGCAATCATTAGACTATATACACACACACACATATATATATATACACACTAGACATGAAATAGATACACTGGCTGTACCTGTGCCAAAAAGATTATCCAACCAGTCAGGAGTTAATGAAGACTGAAGAGGCATCAAATTAAACCACGTTTGGTTGGATGGACTTGTGGTATCTCATCAGACCGTGCCAGAGACCCTTTTGAGTGGAAACCCAAAAGACAACGATGCAAGCCGTGATGTCAAAAGCATTTCTTTCATCATCAACCAATCAAACTGTTCAACTAAGTGTCACCAAAACACAAAGATGAAATGCCTCGTTGTTTGCCGGTTCCGAAGTGGGGCCCGGTGCTTTTGCGCGTTGCTGTTGACACCATGAAAAATCAACAGTTGTGGTGTTGGAACACTATCTCATGAGTCACGCTGCCACATTCTGGGCCCAACGTGTCTTCACAACTTGTGTAATGTAGACTCTTGATTAATAAACGGGGGGGGTTATAAATCAATAATCTACACTATCATTATATATCATTATCGTGTTTTCTGATGCAGGGAGGCTTCCTGAGCTGAGGAGTTCTTTGATTTCGTTTGGAGGTTCAGGAGGGCGAACATTGCCATGGTGAACGGCGGGTCATTTGGGAGTGTCGGACCCACAGCCCCCGGCAGGATGAACTGTGGATTTTCGAAGGAAGAGCTGGAGGACATGATTGAACTGTACGAAATCAGTGATGTGCCTTGGCTGCATCCCTGCAGAATCCTGCCCTTGGCTGCATCCCTGCAGAATCCTGCGGGTGCATTCCTTGTACATCTTCACGCCACGTGATGTCGGTGATGTATTGCACCTAAATGCACTTAAATTCTTAAAACATCACCTAATCTGCAACAGGATTTTTGTTTTCTCTCTCTCAGACAAAAAAGGGGTTGGAGGCTTCACGGCATTTGAAGCATCTGAGCGTCAGGAAGATGGTTCGGGTGAGATTTGCACTTTGGAGCTGTCTACTATCTTCCGATCCCTCGGTGCGGTGGCTGCAGTTGGCTTCGTGAGGGGGCAAGCATGAAACCTGCACCGGGGGAGACCAAAACATCCGAAACACAGCGAGGCAAACGAGTTGTTGCCGCCTTAAGGTTTCACAAGCTTCAATTCTGTGATGCTTTGAAATGCTTATGTTTGCAGCGCTAATAACTTCGGGTCAACGGTCGAACCTACAAACTTAAGCTCAAAGATATTCAAAGATGCTCAACGTGTCCTGAGGTTACAGGGCCAATATGGAACAGCTCACTGGCTTCTTGGCGAATCTTTCACCCAGCTTTTGGTTGATCGATCTCGTTGGATGGTCGTTGGTCGACACCTCAGGTTTCATCATGGAGGTTGATCATGATAAGAGCCTTGACTGAATCTCGCTGCGCATGTTCAGCCTTGTGCAGTAATCATTGCAGTCCTGGAAAGGCTATGGGGCAAGTCCTCAGTAATGGAAAAGCATGGAAAAGCACGGGTTTGTTATCGAGAAAGGCTCGCTTTGGTTTCTAGCCTTTTCCTGATTGGACTTCATGTGGACAGGAGCGGCTTCTTGGGCTTTTCTGAATTCATGATACTTGGCTGTAGTTTGCTTCATGATTGCGTTGGAGAACATTTGCAAGACTTGTCCCACCAAACCATGGTGGCTTCCAAAGTGCTTTCCATTGCTTTCCCCTTTTGGCGACCCTTTCTGGTTGTTGGAGTTTGTATCAGCACATGCAGAAGCGTTTCGTTTTCCACGTTGTGCAAAGGATTGGTCGAACGGTCGGCATTGGGTTTGTTTCGGTCGAAAGGGGGCTTTGGCCGCGATTCAGTGGCTTTGGCCGATTGGTTCACCATCAATCTGAGGACCTTGATGGGCGACTTCCGAACGATGGACTGAACTGAAGAGCCGGTCAACAGCAATACAATCTGACAGAGAGCAAGTTGTTCTTGACAAGTGTTGATGTAGAGCCTTCTCTGGTTGCTAGTGTTGGTAGGCTCCTTTCGTTTTCATCCAGCACATCTTTGGCAGCGTTGCATTTTTGAGTGGACCTTTGTCGCACATTGCTTGCCGCTTGGTCTCGAAGGAGCTCAAAAAGATCAACAAGGTCTTCGAAGAATATGCGGTTGGTGGACCGTGCATGTCATGCACGAAAGAAACTGCGGGGTGTTGTGGGCACATATATGACAAAGAATGCGCACTATATAGCATTGACACGTGTGCGCGCACAGAAATAGCGGGTGACAGTGCCTGGGCCACATTTGGTGCTGTGGCACCTGCAGAAATCATCATCATCCTGCTGCTGCTGCTGCTGGTGCCGATGCGGGGCTGCAGATGCTGCCTTTGCCAAAAACAGGTTTGCGCCGAGGCCACCAGGTAATGCTATGTTGCTTGTCATTAACTGTAGTCCAGGTGGGGAAAGAGACAAAACTCAGATGAGGAGGAAAAGGTTTGCAGCAAGAAAGCAAGAGATGATAGCAATGGTGAATATGGCACGTGAGTGGAACTGACGACAATAGCGGGCATTGGACACACTTGAAAAAACACCAGGGTAAGAATAGACAAGCTTATTGTTTCTATTTAATTCTTGTTTCTAATAGCTTCTTGTTACTACTAGTAAGGCACTTGTTTCTAGAAGCGATGCACTTGTTCCTAGTAGCTTATTGTTTAATAGAAAAGCATTATTCCATTTCACCAACTGGGAGGATACCTTCAAGGTGGAGTCATCACGGATGCGTGCCTTGCTTGCATGCCGCAATCTGATGCAAAGGCACTCATACAGTTGGTGTCTCAGGCAGAGGTCCAGAGGTCCGTTTGCTGAGGTGCAAGAACTTGGGCAGACACCTCATAGACAGGGAACATATGCCGGAAGATGACGATGAATTTGACTTGGAAGATTTTGTGGACTGGGTCGATGAGTGCAGGCGCTGCAGGGAGCTAGGCGATGAGAGTTGGAACGCAGTCACTGTGTGGTTCCACAGGGCAAATTGCCACCACACCTCTCATAGATCCCTTCGCCGGGCTGTGGACTGGGAAGCCAGGCATGAAGCAATGATGAAGGAGCGGAAGCTTGCCGGCTTCGGATATTGGAAGGTGGAGTGCTTTCGGGAGTCGCTGCTGGGCAAAGAGAAGAGCACCGGGTGAGAGAAGAGCAGGAAATGTGACAAGTTCAAACACCACGAAAGACGGAAGGTCGGAAGGTGTTTGGAAATGCAACCTCACGCGTGTGGGATCACGTAAGTCTGATCGAGTGTGATGTTCCCTCCAATATGCTCTTCTATGACCAGATTTGGCGCCTTTGAGCCTTGCTCCCGCTTTTTCGTCCAGTCAGTCGGGCGGTCCGCAGCTTCAAACTAGCTTAGGTTTAAGGAGTTCGACCGAAATGGGAACGATGCTTTGGCAGCTCGGCTTGGAGGTAGGCACCCGAATGATGATGCAAGCAAAGCCAGTTAAGAGGCATGAGTTGAAAGGGCTTTCTATATGCACACCTGGAGGGTTTCCGAGTGACCGAGTGTTTGCACATACGTCTCAATATTCAATCCATTTTCATACCTTGTCTATCCTTGAATGAATCGGTTTGGTGAGTTTTCGTGGTACGGGAGAACCTTGCTTCGTGCCGACGGACTGCTGGACTCAGGAACCAGACGAGTTGACCCTTGGCTTATGGATTCTTGTAAGACGAATTCTGATGGCCTACGCTGCCTACGTAGTGGTGGGCCTTGAGAAGGCTTCAGAACTCCGGTCAGTGGTTCCATGCCTCACGCATCCTCACCTCACGCCAATCACACCGGCATTGCGACATATTGCCATATTGCGGCCGAATATGCCGACTGAGGATGAAGCTTCTGAGATACATGAACATTTCAGAGGCACCGAAGAACAAATCTGAAGCTTGGCTCAGCACAAGTGCCCAAATTGGGAGGAGCCTATGCACAATGCACGGTGCTAAGGAGCAACAGAAGCTCGTCAAACTAGTGGAGACTGCTCGCAAGAATGCCTTTGAAGCTGGCATTCGAGACGCTTGCCTTTACAAAGCACATTTGGACCAACTTCTCATACTTGATGGTGGTGCAATTGGGATTAGAACTTGTACTGATTCGCACACCATATCCTGAATTGCAGGAGGTGCACCAGGAACACGGGAACAGCGTCTCCTTTTGGACCTTTGCACCTTTGCTGAATCCTAGGTCCTAGCCGTTTCTGGCTTTCAATGTGGGTGTGTTTTACAATGGGTGTTTTTCAAGGTGAGTGCAGAGTTTTTTGTTTGTTCTGTTGTGCCCTACACTCCTTGCCTGAAGGGCTGAGGGACCGAGGTGCAATTGCTACGATTGTTGCAGACACAGAAGGAGAAGATCCTTGTCTTGGAGTAGCACAGACGCCGCCACCAGGGTTTCTTCTTGTTCATCCACGCTCAATTGTCCATCCAAAGCCGGCATTGGCAGTTTTGTTAGAAGCCAGTTGTTGCTTAGCCTTCCATCCACTCATGATGTCACAAGAACGCCAATTGTCCATGATACAATGTGTGCACCGTGGACATCCGTGGACGACTTTTTTTGGTACCTGAAGACATGCACCGTGGTTTTGGTGGATATGTGTAGTCAGCATGGCCCAACCAAGAACATACATTATCGATTTGAGGGTGTTGGATTGCAGGACTCTTATGCTTGGGGGCCCACGGGTAAATCACTGTTTTTTTTCCTGGTGGATGGGTCAGCAGCTATTGTCCGAACGACATCAGAACTGGCTTGCTTGGGCAAAGGGTGTTCAGTAGTTATTCAGTATCACGGAACATCGGTATGTTGAAAAAGCACATCGGTATGGCCAAGCTCGACAGGCTGAGAAAATGCCCTTGGCAGAACAGTTGGAAACGCAGAAATCAGCTGACACGGACTTGTTGAACAGCTATTTTGCTGACAAGGATTCGACTGAAACACTTTTCTGACTGGGACTGCAGCTGTGTTCAACTGGTTTTGCAATGTTTGCCGCTTGGAAATGGTCCCCGTTTGCGTTTACGGGGTGAGGTGAGCCGCTGAGGGGGATCTGAAGATCGTGAAAGATAGGGGGTACGATTTCTTTCTTCCAGGCGTGAGATGACCCGGCTCGACGTGGTCATGGAAACACTCCAATTCTCCAAGTTCGAGGCCTCCAGAGTCGACGGCGAGGGATGAAGAAGCATTGTATTGATTATACAGGGAGAGGACACATGGGTCTAGATGCAGGTCACCAACACCCGGATGGTTGGTAAAAGATGCTTGGTAAAACAGGTAGGTCCAAACATCAGAACGTGTGAAATCCATCATTTTCTCAGTGCCTGGACATGCCTGGACTGTTCGTATCTTCAAGAACATCGGTGAACGGTCCAGGTGGAGCAGTTCCGGCTGATCTTCTCTCACTGGGCGAGGTACCATCCGAATACCGGTCTATCGGACCGAGAGAACCTTGGAGGGGCCAGGGGTCGACGACTGAAGACTCCGGTTGCTAAAGCACTGTTTTGAGTTTTGACCAAAAAAGGTCGTTCTGGTGGAGGTCTTTGGGTTTCTTGACCTATATGATCTTATTATGACTTATTATAACTTATTCTAATGCCGAGTGCGCTGGCGGGGATTGTTGATCGGCCTAAGTCGGTACCAGAGTTTCATGTTTGCTTCCAATCAGAAAATAAACTTATGAAACCTTTGGGTCAACTAAGTAACTATGCATTCCTTTGCCAGAAGCACCACATCGTCTTTGAATGTCGCCCAAGGATTGACACAGAGGTCGACACTCTCACAGAGGAGCAGGTTTGCAGAATCTTCCGCTCGGCGGGCGTATCTCTTGCCACTTGGCACGTCCGGAGCGTCCCGTCCCAATGGAGCTCACGCCGTCGGTCGTCCGAGCGTCTCCAGGTCGGAGGGCACATGGGCGAATTGCGAGTTGGCTTGGAACCTCTTCAGACTGACCGTGCTGTGTCTGCATGGACATGGACATGCCCGCGATCCTCGTATGTCCTTCAAACAAGATTTGTGAAGAGCCTTGCGAAACAAAGCGTTTCAGCCGTTTGAAACCGCAGTCGCATGACTCACCAAATGCCTTGTCCTTCTGCGTGCTGGATCTGATGGCTTGAGGCAGATTGACCTTTGAGAACTTCCTGAGATTGATGCGTTCCCCGGTTGCAAGTGATTGAGCAAAATGTAGGCTCCTTTAAACAAGGTTGTTTGGCTTGTATTGTCTCGGATGTGAAAAACTGCTCGGAGGCGGGCCAGCTTTTTTTCCCTTCTGAGGCTGGGTGGTCGACACCAACTTCGCCGGCCTTGGTGAGCCCGTTTCAAAGTGAAGTCCAAGAGGCTTGCGTAGCTCGGCTATTCAATTTAGGTTAGGCGTAGCTCGGGGAGAATAGCTCCTCCAGGCCAGCTTGTTTCAAGTTGGCAGTTAACGAGCCAGGTTGACTGCAAAGGTTTCAGCCAGCATATTTTGCTGTTTCACTTAGTCTCGGAGATTGGATTGTTTGGGCCACGTTGCTAAGCAACAAGGAATGATAAGGAAGGCTAATTTGCCGGCTCACGTGCTTCACGAGCCAGCCCTAGTTGGATTCAGCACAGCTTGCAAGCAGCAGGGGGTTCTTTCGAAGAGATGGGTTATATATGCGGTAGTTACGGTAGTTGTTTGATGCTGTTTGACAAGTTCCAAGTCAAAGCAGGCACTAAAGGCTATAGGCACTATTCTGTGCAAGGGGTGCTGAACCCTTCAGTTTTGTAGAGTCTTGCGCTCGTGCATCCACCCTGTCATGCCCAGTCATGTCAGGGGTGAGACCGGTGAAACCAGAAACATTGGCAAAAGTCTTAAACATGGGCGATGGAGAAAGACTCTTAGCAGTCCATCACCTTCACTCGTGAATCAGAACGCTCTACACTGTTTTGATCATGGACATCTGTGGTCAGGACTTTCTGGATGGAAGGGGCTTTGGATCTCATCGTTTGTTTTCTCTTATTGTTTGAGCACGCGGGAGGCGTTAGGGACTTTGGGAGCCGAAGCATGAAGGAGTTGCTCTGAACGCTGTTTTGGGCTCTGAGAGTCGCCCACAGCGTGGGTTGTGCTGTGAAATAGCAGCACCAAATCAGGCGCGGGTGCTCAAAGGAATAGCTTGGTAAATGCCATGGTGGTACGCAGAGGGTTGTGGTTCTGGCAGTAAGAAAGATATTGTTCAACCCGTTGGACTGATCTGAGGCTCCCAAACTGAACCCTGACTACTATATGTTCAACTCATAGTTTGATGCAGGTGATGCGGAGCCATGCAGACATCTATGTAGTTGGCATCTCGAATGGAGGCGACGACCAGGAGCGCGAATTTGACTGTGAAAAGACCATTTGAGAGTTAAAGAACTGGGAAGATGCTTAGAAGAGGCACAGCACAGCAACATGGCATCATGCTTGCTGTATCTCGGTGGCACTTCTGGGGTTGTGCACACTCCCAATCCTCGACTATATATTGATGTCCCCACCTGCCCAGCAAACAATGGATTTGCTACTGATGGTCTCATGAAAACTTGCACCAGCAAAGTGCTTCAAATTTGAGACACGTGGTGGGTGGGCTTGCTATCTCAAGGCTCACGCCCCACATTGCATCCATCATTGCACTTCATCCACTCCCAAGGACAAAACATGTGCCCAGCTCTTTCCCATTGCAGCTTTGGAAGGGGGGCCTTTCAAGCAAACGCATTGAGAACATGGACCAAATTGTTTTTTGGCACAATTTGATTCGACGAAGTTCAGCACCAGATTTGACGAAGTTTAGCACCAACCACAAGCACAAGATTCAGCGAACATGAGCACCAGATTTAGCCAAATTTTGCACAAGGCTTGGCAAGTTGCAGCACTAGAACAAACACGAGCGAAAGCATTACATTTGACGAAACCTAGCAACAGGTTTGACGAAATTTGGCACACGGCTTGGCAAGCCAGAAGCACAAAATTGCACGAAAATGAACACCAGTTCTGACATTTGTTTTGCTGAGCCCCTGCCCCATACAGAAATGACAGCGCACCCTGGCCATGCCTCCCAGGCCCCAGCTGCAAATTTGAGAAATCAATGTCATGTGATGCCTGATGGCACTGCCTGCCAGAGGAAAACAAAATAACAAAGAGTGCAGATTCTGTGTTAAAACAATGGAAACTGTGATAGCCCCAAGCGGCCCAAGCGCCCCCCCCCCAAAATACATTTGTTGTTACTATATATCAGTAGATTATATATATATATATATTTGCTTTAACTACTGCATTTAGATACGCATAGCACACATATACATTCATACAAGTACATGCACACATACATGCACCCTACACGGATGTATAGTTATAAGCTATATCACACACTTAGATGGTTGCTCGCAAGAGCTAGGATCAGAATGAAGTCCCACTTTACACGCGTTAGCCCTTGACTCGATGGAACCGCAAAATGCAGAACGGAAAGGCGAAAGGTCGGCAGATTTGAAGATGTTTTAACAGTTTTTTGGGCTCACAACAGCTGCGACTCTGCAATGGACGGCTTGAACAATTGAAAAATGCAGGTGCGTTCCCAAGGCGTCCCTCAGGAATATCACAACACGATGGAAGGGTCTTCGTTGGGCAATGCCTTCCAAAGTGTTCATTGCCCCCCTGCTGTATGGTGGAAAATTGCATGCGATCAAACGGATCAAAAACTCTGTGGGGTGGGGTCTCAAATGTACGTGAGCAACAACGATCGACATTGAGGTCCTTGGAGACAGGTGGTGACACACACACACACACGTGTATATATATATATATATACACACATACACATCAATGTATATTTACACACGCACATACACATACACATTCACGCTTTCGCAGGACCGGCTTTTGGCAAGGCGGCTGGCTGGCACATTGGAAAGAGGGGGCTTTAGCTGCACAGGCTGGTCAGCACCGCAAGACCTTGTGTTTCATTTGGATTTCATGTGGCTCATGTGGTTGTAGTGCTTGAGACGATCTCATGCTTTGGAAGTATGCAACTTTGATTCTTGTGAGAGCGCTCACGCAGAGGAACTGTGCCACAAGAATGCTCCGCAACAGCATGCTCAGTATTTTATTTCAAGTTTGTCCATTAGTCTCCTGTCAGTGGTGCCTTTGACAGGAGATCATGAGGCAGACGAGAATGAGCCTGGGCGAGTTTGCATTCAGGATACTGAATGCCGATGTGTCTTCTTTGTGGTGTCGCCAGGCAGGCCACACTCAAATCAGGAAACATCGCCTTCATGTATAACATGTGAGCCATGCGGCCAACTGTTGAGGCTGCCCCACCCCCACGGCAACTTTACAGTGTTGACAATGGGGCGCAGTGATGAATGAGCTCGGAGATGAGTATTTTCGGAACATTCACCAAATACCGCACACCTCTGGGCTCCTTCAGGCTCCACCCTTTGGTGTTTCTTTGAGTTCAGTTCATCAGCGCCTCCGTCAGGTGCGCCGGTCGATGCGGCCGTGGTAGCGCAGCTGCGAGGTGCTGCGGGTGCGGGACGAAGCACCCGCTGTATCTACGAAGCTGGGAACAGTGCATGCCAGGAGAGGGTTGCGAGGCAAAAGTGCAAACGGCCACAACCCAGATACCTAGATCAATTACAGTGGTTTTAGGGTAGATGGCGTCATCTCCAAAAATTTTGTTGTTGCCATACAAGACTCTGCCATCACTTGGAAACCACTGTATTATCAACTCCGCCAATGTGGCAGGCCCCTTCTCGCATGCAGGACTTGTCTGAGTGGGGCTCAGCAATGCCAACGTCCTTCCTGCGGCCAGCTGTGCTGCTGTACTTAAGTGATGATGTTGTTGCAGACCTTGTGCCATCCATGTTTCTGTTTCTTGTTGAATCGGAACTGATAGAGCTTACTGGTTGCAGGTTGCTTCCCCAACCCTCTCAAGTTTCGGCAATGTCAATGTCTTTGATTATTCGCAGCAGCTGAGTAGCAGAATGCATCTCAGCCAGTTGTGCTCTGAAAGCAGTCCAACTGTGGCAGCCGAGGCCAATTAGCCGCTATTTTCCTCGAGTGTCGGAGAGGCTAGTGATGGCTGCAGCCCATGAAGAGCTGCTTCGAGCCCCACCTCGACAGGCGGAACATGCTGGAACAGTTGATTCTTTCCAGTGGCCACAACAGCAATTTAGACAAATGCAGTGGATTAGTCAAACAGTGGAACAATGTCATGGTCATATCGTGATTCCTTCCTTGATATATACGTTACTAATCGTTACTATATATATATGTGGAAGCCATTCCTATTAGACTCCTTTTGCTTGCTTCTAGGTTGGAGGCCATCGCTTTAAGACCCAGTTTGATCCGATCATTTCCTATTGCGAATCCTGAATCCATTCTTGGAAGGTCGATGCAGATGGCCAAGCAGACTGGGTCCGAGGCTGGGTCTTGATCCATCGCGGTGAAAACAAAACGGAATCCGAGGCCAGGGCCGAGTTTCCATCCATTTGATGGTGACAAGTCCGTTTCCGGGACGGCTCCCGCAGAAAGAACCTGACCAGTCGCGCATGTGATTTGCCTATGCCTTTTTCGTGAGCCTTGGCCCTTGATGGGCCTTGCTGTTTTCACAGGATTTCCGGCTGATCCAGGAGGCCGCTTTGCAGCTCCGACTCGCCACTTTGTCTCAATTGGAAGTAGTGACATCAGTAGTAGTAGTAGCAGCAGCAGCAGCAGCAGTAGTAGTAGTAGCAGTAGTAGTAGTAGTAGCAGTAGGAGTAGTGGTAGTGGTAGTGGTGGTGGTAGTGGTGGTGGTGGTGGTCGTAGTAGTCGTAGTGGTGGTAGTAGTAGTAGTAGTAGGAGTAGGAGTAGGAGTAGGGGTAGGAGTAGGAGTAGTAGTAGTAGTAGTAGTAGTAGTAGGAGTAGGAGTAGGAGGAGGAGGAGGAGTAGTAGTAGGAGTAGGAGTAGGAGTAGGAGTAGGAAAGGAGTAGGAGTAGGAGTAGGAGTAGGAGTAGGAGGAGGAGGAGGAGTAGTAGTAGTACTAGTAGGTGGAATATATACTGAGTGTGCGTGTGGCTCTGGATGAGGGCCAAGTAGCGCTGCGCTGAAGATTTGGAGGTGAAAGTTCCAGATGCACAATTGAGAAGACAGGATTCGGTGGGTTTTGCTGGTGTGCGCAGGAGGTGCTGTTTGTTTGACTTGTGAGTGCTGCAGGTGAGTTTCAGTCGCTGGTGGCTGGGGATGAAGGTCAAGATCATGCAGATTTCGCTCAGCTGGCCAATCTCACTTGCACCCAGTGGCTCCAAGCCAGGGACTGCCTGTGGGAGGGATTGTGCAACATAGCATTCCAAGAGAAGGTTGCTGTACCAATTCCTGCTAATGCCGCTTGCTTGATGTTTTGTAGAGGCTGGGCAAAACCAACATGGCGAATCAGGGCAGGGCCCAAAACCATCCGACCCAGACTATTGGAACAGTAAAGACTAAGTTCACATCCAAGCTTCAGCTTGTTATGCCTCCTTCACCGTGCGCCGTTCGCGCAAAAATGGGTTGAACTGTGCGCTGCAGGACTTGCAATTGGTTTTCGGTGCTGATGAGGGCGCCGAGGCGTTGAGGTGCATTTTGGAGGAGCTTAGGATGGTGGGATACGTCGTTGTCTCCTAATTCAAGCTTCGGCTGCAACATATTTACTAAATATTAAAGCTCGAGTGGTTTTGCATGTTATTTCGAAAACAGAGAGCGCTGTGTTGGTTTTGATGCAACTGAGAGCACTCCATGCTGAACCAAATTCCCCTCTCACCTTCGATTCTGGGTGTATCCCTCATCTATCCTTATCCACCCAATCATTTTTTATACTTTTTTACTCATATTTTTCACCAATATCACATATCCCCAGAGCGTCACCGCTGCACTGCTCAAACAAAGCCGTTCTCAGCGCCACCGAAGGAGAAGTCCTATCCAGCGGTGTCTTCCGCTGTGATGCTGCTGGGGGCGGCATATCGACCCATCTACACGTCGTTCGTGCGAGGTACGCATTTTTGTTGCCTTTTTTTTGAAGTCTAATATTATCTAATATTTATTTTAATGTGTCTTGATGCCTGTTTTCATGTTTCTAACACTATGGGCCCCCCCACAACCGGTTGTTTTGAGATTTCTAGACCCGCGATGTGGACTACTCCGACGACACCCGCGGGCGGCGCATGGCGGCGCACGGCGGTGCACTGGAAGAGCAGATTCGTCGGACGAATCGAGATCGTTCCAGGTGATTTGCACTCGAGGCCGGTGTCGACTTCACCTTCACATGCACCAACTACGCCCATGAGCCACGGTCAAACACCTCATGGCCACACGCCCCACTGTCAGACGCCGAAAAGTGCAGAGACTTGGCCAAAAAAGGCATGACCGCACATGCTCCGTTGTACCTTTTGCGCCACCACCTGGTGTGGTGATAGAAGAGCATCGGGTAAGCCTCGACGGACTTCCATCACTTAGGTCAGCGTCTCTGGGCCCTTCTCCTGCGCAGTGCCATCTGAGAGTCAGCTCATGCTGCTTGAGCAGGCCAGCTCATGCTGCTTCTGTCATTGTCAGTCCGAGTTCACAAACGCAGAAGTTGGCCTGTGGTTTGTGAGGCCTGCGGTGTGGTATTACTCGTTGGCCCCATGTTGTAATATGTTGTAATGGGAGCAGGCCCAAGTTGCAGGTTCGTAGGCCCAGGCTTCCCTTTCCCTGGATTGCATCTTAGACTGAGGCTCTACAAAACCTTCCGGGTGGATGCAATGAGAGCACAGCCATAGGCTTTTGCGTGATGAATGGGGTCGAAGGCGCTGAATCCGATTGTTCGGCAAAGGCGGAATCTTAGGACCGCTTTTACCATTTGACGCTTTAATGAGAAAACGGCCGCTCTACTGTCTTGGACGGGACCTTGGACATTTTTGGCCGCGACCGCAGGTCCGGGGATGCCCGAGGTGCTCCTGGCATCCCATATCGCCGTTTTGGAAGGTGTTTCGGTGAGCATGGAGGAGCACCTCGAACATGGTGAGAACTTCGTTGAAGTCGTCTCTCAGCTGATTTGGGACATCGATTTTGTGTTGTCTCAACCTGGTCAGGTGGCACTTGGCCTGCTTCATGCTTCTGCCCATGTCATGGCACGTGTATGAGGGTGCGCAAAAGGAGCAGAGCATGTCATCATGCAAACTGACACCCGAAGGGAGAACCATTAGCTTCATTGCGCAAATCCAATTCCGTTTCAAAGAGGGCAAGATGACGCAAGATGTAGTAATTTATACACTCAGAGCCCAGAACATTTGTGTGCAGTATATAGTTGTATGATGTTGTATGATATATATATAGTCTGTGTGTGTGCATCACACCTTCTTCTAGCTGGCCAACGCAAAATCATAAGCCGTGCACCTTCCGGCACTCGGAGGGTTGGCGAGAACGGATCCAAAAAGGTCGCGACTGGAGCTCACGGTAACTGGCCCACCCCGAATGAAAACACCCTTGCCACACACTTGCCGCCTTCAGGGGCCAGAATCCCATGCAACTGCCCTGATCTGCCCTGCCCTGTCCTGTTTGGCCCTTCCGCGTTGTTCATTGCCACAGGTGGTGGCCATCATCACGGGTCGCCTGGTGCCCTGCCGAGAGAACCAGCTGCAGGAGCTGGATGCAGCAGTGGGTGAGCAGCTGGAGCCCGGTGGAGGCCCACGTGGTCCGTGGATGATTATGGGGGGCAATGAGCATCAGTGAGCCCGTTAACAGGAAACACATCATCATGAAGCATCCGGAAATCCTCAGAGAATGTCATAAGTGTCATAAGTGAATGGTTAGTGGGTTAGTGCACAAGCTGGCAGCGGGTTGAGTTTCATATCAGGATATTTGCGGTTTGTTCTTTCAGTGATCACGTGCAGCTTCTTCAACTTCTGAGACCGTGAGACCACACACACGCTGGCACGCTGCTTTTTGACTTCCAGGTTTAGCGTTAGGTAGGGTGAGCCACCGGGGTTTGATACCTTGATTGAGGCGTTACGTTGTCCCAGCTGGTCGATGCCGATGCGGAAGGATCAGGGAACCTCATCAACAAGATTTGCCTCTTTGTTCAAACGAAGGCCTTTCAGAGTGGTGACACTGCCAGAGCGTGGTGGACGCGCCACTGCCGCAGAGCGTTGGAGACGCATCCCTTATTGCAAGGACGAGCATATCGAAGAACGTTGCTGCAGAATTGTGTCTCTACAGATTCTTTGAGCATCGCCTCCTTGCAACAACGAAGTTGGGCAGCAAAGGATCTCATCAACAACGAATGTGCCAATGCCTTGGCCGAAACTGCGTTTAAGGTGCGAGTGGTTTCAGAGGCACCAACGGAAATGAAGCCAGAGAACACGGAGACTGACAACGTGGACTGGGGCGAGCAGGTGAATCAGTGACTTGACACTGTCCAGGTTGAGAGATGCGGTTTCAATCCAATGTTTGGATCATGGGACTTTGGACAAAGCCGAACTTGGGCACTTTCTTCAAGCCCAGCTTGTGTTGTGTTTCCTTGGTGCCTTTATGAGGACGCGGCTGAAAGACCTACGGAAGCTGATGCGCTGTCTCTTCCAGGCTTTCGATGCGGACCTGGACAAGAACAACCAGGCAAGCCGAGCACTTTTGTGCCACTACTGGCCCCTTGACTCATTGACTGATTCCTCAAGCAACAAATTAAACATGGGCAAGCCGCATAAGTTTCACGAGTGCCTGCCCTAGCCCTCAAACAGCATATGTCAATGAAGGCACCTTTCCATAGGCAGCTGAGAAGGAGACCCATCATCCGCCGGATAGGCCGAAGTCAGAGTCAACTTCTTTTGTGCCTGTGCAGTTTTCAGGCCGGTAGCTTTAGCAGCCGCAGAAACTTGGCCAGAGCTCCTCACGCCTGACACAGGAGGGACCCCGTTTCAGAAAGCCTCGTGCTATGAGGTCTAAGACGTTTTTCTCATGATCCCCTTGTCTAAGGATATCACCAGTTCACTCGATGCAAATTTATGCATTTTCTGAGTTTGATGGTGCATTCAGACATTTTTGCGATCACCTTTGCGGTGCTGACGATCTATACGCTCTTTGCGCCAAACATTTTGCTGGTGTTTGGTCTGAGTACAGAGCACACTGCACCAGTGGCCATTTTAAATACCGTGGTGCTGGGATTCTTTGTGTTGGAATGCATTCTGAGCTGCATCTTCATGAATGGCTATTTGCGATCTGGGCGTGTTTTCTTGGATATTATGGCCATGGTGAGCTTGGTCGGAGACACCTTGATCCAGGCGCATTTCTTCCCCATGACTCCAATTGCCCAACCAAGCATGGAGACTTCTCAGCTGGACCCCAGCCGCCCGAGCCGGATCCTGGATATCCTGAAATTTGCGCGGCTCTTTCGCATTGTGCAGAGACTTGGCCAAACCTCAGCGTGGGTGAGACGTTGTGATGTGAGATGTGAGAAGGAGCTGGAAGCCTTAGAGGTTAATCGACTCGATCGGGTCCCACATAGACGGATCATTGTGTGAATACCAATGGTTGACTCACAGCGAAGCTGTTTGGGTACGCTGAGATGCTTCTATGAGGGCAACATGCCCCACAGTAATTTGATTCCCTACTATGCTCTTCAGAGTTAGATATTTAGTATTTTTTATATAATCACATAATATGTTTACAAGATCAAGCGTCATGGGCTTTCAGGCTGCTCAGAACTTTGCATGGGATTGTTTGGCGAAACTTCTTGCGGCCTCACCATGGCTTAGCACAACAGCTATACCACAAAAGGCTGCTTGCTTGCGATTGGAGGAAACGGCAAGACGTGTCCTGATCTTTGTATTCCCCAACTTGACTCACGTAAGATTCACAGTAAGATCCACATTCTTGGTTGCGCCAGGCTGTGGCGAGTGTTCCAGGACTTGTGTGAGGTGGGCGGCAGGAACCGGCTTACAACTTTCGAAACTGATCTGTCCTGGCAGGGGAAGAAGACGCAGTTGAGCGCGGAGCAAATGCGCTTCTTCTTTATGGTGCCCAGCTCAGTCACTGTGGGAGAAAGGTACCTACAAAACGGCTTTGTTTGCCAAACTGGCTGCCTCAGGCAATGCGGCTGGAGTTCCCTGAGCGCAAGGACTGGGATGGCTCAAAAGCATACCGTAGGCCGTAGATGTGGCAGCCAACTGTTGAAGGTTTGCATTCAAAGACACCGACGTCCAAAAAGAGTGTGGGGCTTTGTGTTTTTTTTCCCGAATGCGTAGCGAAGGGTTCCCGTTTATAGTTGGGGGTCTGGGGGTTGGACATGTGTTTGCATGGCCTGCGTCGTGTCGTCGTCTGTCGTCGTCTCTCGTCGTCTCTCGTCGTCGTCGCGTCTCAAATTTGCTGCCATTGGGGGAAGCTTTTGCAAGTGACTTTGCATGGATGTGTCACGTGTCAGTTTGCGCCGCTATTCCATTGTGATTTGCATGACACCGACATGTCGCGCAAGAAACGTGATGCATTTCGCTGCACAGGCGCAGCGTTTTGTGAGATCCGCAGTTTGCTGCGCAGTGCCATTGGGATTAGTGTTTGGAGAGTCGTGTTTTTGGGGTGTTGGATGTGGCCGTGCCATTGGGATTTGCGTTTCAGGGTGTGGCATCGAAGCTCTGTTTTCGTGACAAGTCTCAGCTGAAATGGCGATTTTGGAGGATGGGAGTGTGCTCTGAACGGGTCGAAATCATTCCAAACGTGTGGTGTGGTGCAAATTTTGTTGAAGCTCACATGCGATGATATTGTCACTTTTCGTGGCAGGCGCAGGACTTCGTGCGGGTTTTGAAGCGTGGAAGTGCGATTCTCGTGGCAGGCGCAGGGAATCGTGAGGCTGCGAGGTGTGAGGGAGGTGACATTTCGTGGCAGGCGCAGTACTTTGTGCGCGTCAGACGTGTGGATGGGGAAAGATTCGTGGCAGGCGCAGGGAATCGTGAGGTTGTGAGTTGTGGTAGAGGTGAATGTCGCTGTCACATTGGGATTGGCGTGTGAGCGGGTGTTGTTGGAGGGGCTGGAATCGCGAAACTGCTTGGCAGGGCTGCGTGATGTGTGTGCTTTGATGGGTGTTTCCGCTTGACTTTTGGAGGAAGTCTCGTACAAAGCGCTCGTTTTGCTGACTTTGACGTGTGAGTTTTGAGGAAGTCTCGTACGAAACGCTCGTTTTGGAGGCTTGACGCGCAACCCTCTGCGGAGATCGTGCGTGTCGAGTGTGCGAAATGCAGGCGAGAGTGCGATTTGTCCCATGCGCGCGCAACCCTCTGCGGAGATCGTGCGTGTCGAGTGCGCGAAATG